GATGGAGAGGCTGCTGTTAGAGTTCAATCCTGACTAAATTTTCCAGTGTAGGCAGCTAAATATAGGAGATTCCATATTAGAGGTTGGATGACCACACAGAGCATGGCTTTGTTTCCAGCACCTCAGCTGCCATCGGCAGAACAAGCACGTCTGGCTTTGGTGTCACTTGTGGTACTGCTTTGCAGTGCCGTGTAAAAGTTCTGGTCCATCCCTCTGCCACCAGCTGCTGGTGCAATTCAGTTAAGTCACCTTCTTTTCCTCTTTCAAAAAGAGGAGAGCAATATAGAACCGTGTTAGGATCTGGAGGCGCAGGCTGAGACCGCTTGTGAATGAACATTCAAGCAGGCTTGAACCACAGTTGTGTTATCTTAGCTGAGTTAGTAGATATATATCCGAGGTTGGAAATCATGCTCGTCTCAAACAACATAAATCAATCATACAAGCATTCCAAGTCCGCTTCAATGCGGAAACAGCCAAGATAGCGCAAATCTCCTTCCACGGAGTCTACTGTGCTGTATTTAGACAGCCCCTGTGCCTCAGCAGAGGGGTGTAGGAAGCAGCTGTGCAGCAGCAAATTCTTAAGCGTAGCAGCTGTTTGACGAGGGAAACTTAAGCTGTATCACAAGGCCTAAACATGGGCATAAATAAGTCTGTGTACCTTTATCTGTTGATAGATAGCATGTGGCTAGATGTATTTCGTTACAACCTGAACTTGTCTTGGCATCGTCCAAGTCTTTCAGAAGGAAAAAGGGGGAGGGTAGAACCAGCTTCTCAGCTTAGAAATGTTTTAAAACATCTGCGTCTTGAAACAGATACGATGAACGAAAAGATACTTTGACTTTACAGTTATCGTAAAAATAAATTGTTTCTCAACTATATTATTTCTTCTATTTAAATAAGTATTGCAGTAGATCTTGTTCATTCCTAGTTGGAAAACTTGCATCACATTCATTATACTTACTTTGTGGTTTTTGCCTGTAAATTATACCCCATTTAGAGGTGTGGTAACCGTGGTGCAGGGAGGCATAAAGGCTGATGCACCTAGGTCAATTCAAAGCAGAAAAGGACTCACTCTGCCTTTCGGTTTAGTGCCTTATCCATTGGATCTCCCTGCTGGCTTATCTGTCTACCCTAAACATGGGGCTCTGTTTTCAGCGGGATCTATACGTTGTTTCTGTCCTTTTTAGGTTCTAAAGACTACCAGCTGGTTACGTGGTCCCGTGATCAGACTCTGCGGATGTGGCGGATTGACTCTCAGCTGCAGAGGGTACGTAAACACTTTTGCTCTTGAACCGTAGACAGTTTTCTTACAGGCTGGACTCGCCCTCCTTTCCTTGCACTCCCAGTGACTACTCTGACGTCCTAGAGTTGCAGATGCAGCAGCCAGCTGCCGCTTTGCTTTCCTCTTCAGTTCCAGCCCAGAAACATCCCCAGGGAGACCTGTGATGAGGCCTCTCTATGTCTGTGCCTCAGAAGCTTCTGTGGAAGTGAGGCTGCTTTGTTGTATAACAGTAAGTGTAGAAGTCATTTGCGGAAGGTGGAGATCAGATACTGCTTGCATTGCCTCTGAAGATGCCACCTCCATGGCTGCAAGACTGTATGACTCTTTCTTGGCATTTTAGTCAGCAGGTAAATGTAGGGATTGTGCCCTCCACTTCCTCCCCTTGTTTCCTTTGCCTCGTAGCCTGGTGCAGGCAGCGTGAATCCTGTTGTTCTGCTGTCTGGCAGCAGTTACAAATTGCTGATGCAATTACTAGAACAGCTGTGCTGGGTCAGACCAGAGGTTCATGTGGCCACGATGGCCCATATTGCCCTATCTCATCTTCAGCTGTGGATGACTTGGAAGAGGATAAGAACAAGGCAAGTGTGGAGTGATGTTTATCTCAAATGCCCTCGAACCTCCTGCGGTTTGCAGCTTAGAGGGTCGTTGAGTCTGGTGTCTTTGTATTTGACAGAGCTTGATGAGTTTCACTTCCATAGACTTGTTCTGTCTTTTCTTGGACCTGTGTAAATTTTTGTCATCTTAAGCATCCTATGAACAAGGAGTTTCATGGCTTTTCTGCATGTTGTGTGGAAAAACAGCTCCTTTCCTTTGTTTATTTTGCAACCTGCTAGTTTCATTACATTGAAGATGAAATGAGCAGCCATCTTGTCTGTGCTACTCGTGATTCTGTAGACCTCCATCATATTCCTGCTCAGCTGCCTCCTTTTTCAAGTCAAAAGGTCTTGATTTACCTCATCCCTTGTACGAGAACTTTGATTGTCCTTTTTCAGTTCTACTATATACTTTTTGGGATGGGGATCTGAACTTTGTTCTTTCCAAAGAATTCCCAGTACTCGTTTTTTAAATTGTTGGACATAATTCCATGAAAACATCAGCTTAGTCTGGCCTCTACGTCTTGTTCCCTCAGTCAGCTTGAACTTGCCATTTTTCCCCTGTATGAGTTGCTTTATATTTATCTGAACTGAAGTTCGTCTTTCATTTTAATATAGTTACTCCTGTAAGGTCCTTCTGTGATTGTTTGCAGCCAGCCACTCTTGTTACTACCCTGAATAACTTAGTGACATCAGCAAACCTGGTCATGTCGCTATTCACCTCCTGTTCCAGGTTTTTAATGAATATGTTGAGAAGCATGTGTTCCCAGCACAGATCCTGCAGGAGTCCTGCAGGTCTGTAACAAACCTTCTCTGTGAAAAATGACCCTTTACTCCTACCTGATATATTTGTGAATATTTTCTTTCTTTCCTGTCTTTAAACCAATTGTTCATCCATGTCAGAGCCTTTACTCTTCCTCTGCTGGCTCCCACTCTTTTCTCCTTGTCTTTGTCTGGATCAAACTACACGCATGCTGGCATGTTGCTGGTGACCAGTTCTGTAATTCGCTACGTTGCACCCTTATCCTTTCTCCTCCCTGTGTTTCTTCTCTTCATCTTCCCTGTTTTCTTGTGCTGAACTTAAAATACAAGTTTTCATGGTCTCTTTTTGATACGGGACCTAGAACACTAGGAGCCCTAGTATGTACCGGGGTCTCTAGATCCTACTGGAGTGTAAATATCAAAAGCAGAAAGTGTGCTACTATTATATCCGATCTAAAAAATTAAACCAGTTTTGACAAATTAATTCAAAGAATTAAATTCATAGCAGCTTTAGTTTTGATTAAAGTAAAACCTTTGTTACTTAGACTGGCCCTGTCAATTAAGTGGCTTTGTAAGTGAGCAGGAGATTTGGCCAGGCTGTCTGAGGCCACAGAGCTGAGGATGCTGAAAAGTGGAAGATCATCTGTCTTTGTCACAGAAACAATGCTGAGGTCTCAGTTACGACTGTTGCGTGGACAGACCTACCTTGCAAATCCGGCTCCCTGGAGGAACGAGTTGTTTAGTGGTGGCTCTTTCCATGGTTTGGTTTCTGTTGTGCAGCATGTGGGTGTGTTTGTTCTTTTCAGCTGTGCGCTAACGATATCCTGGATGGAGTCGAGGACCTCATCGATGGGATTTCTCATCTGCCAGAGCCAGACAAGACCCTTCACCCCCAGGACTCTGAGCCCCAGCATAACTCTGGGCACGGGGATGAGGAAGGTGAGACAAGCGATGGCACTTCAAACACCAGCTCTCTTTGTGTTGGGAAGAAGATGTATCTTGGCATAAGAAAATAACATCGTAGGCAAAGCACAAACTGGTGCTGTTTCAAAGGTTAATGGATTCCCCATCTGGGAGGAGGGAAAAAACAGGGGTTTCTCAGGATGGTCCTCCCAAGTTTTTTCTCCTCTCACACAGTGATGTCATTCTAGCTGTAAAATGCAGCTCTTCCTTGTCACTAATATCATTTAATTGCATTCTCTTTGGGTCATAGTTGTGGCTTGCTGCCAAAAATAAGGCCATCAGAAAGTCAGTTCTGGCTCTTAAGAAAGTAGTTCAGTTTAAGCAGAGAGACGAGCCCACAGAAGAGGGGAGCGTATGGGTAAGGCACTCTGACACAAGCTGCTTACATCGCGCCTGGTACCTAAACTTCTGCTGGGGTCACTGCGTGAACTGATCTAACATGGAGATGCTTGCTGGTGTCTTCTCCCATCCACCAGAAGTAGTACGGAGAGAGCTCATGAATTTTTGTTCGTGTATTGATGAGAGGTGGCTGAAGGCTGACAGAGCAGAGGGGGAGGGATGGTGTCTCTGACTTCTGAGTACCAGATGGGTGGATGAGAATGGGTCAGAGGCTTTAACAGAAAGCATTGGTTTGGCTTTATGGAAGAGAAGGCATACAAGGAAGGAATGCGAAGGAGGGTTTGTGTGGTTAAGGCTCTGGCCAGGTTAAACATTCAGGGTGTCAGTGTTTGAAGAGTGTAAGTACCAGAATAGAAGAGATTGCAGCAGCTGAGACCCATGGTGATGATGTGCACGTGAAAAAGCTATCTAAAGAGATTTCTATGTCTAATACCAAGGGAGAAAAAATGGGTGCTCCCATGCCTTTGTGTCAGCTTGGGTTTAAATTTGCAGTTCCTTTCTGTATTGTAGCAGGGTGCTACAATGGATCCCCATGTGAGAGGCTTGCTGGGAAGCAGTTTGATTGTCCCTTTGACTTGCCAACAAACTGGAGAGAGGGGGAGGAAGTGGTCTAATATCTGTCCTCTGAATAAAGGAGCCAGCTGTGAAGTCCCTTAGGGAAAGCATCTCTTCCTAACTGGAAGTTTCCTGCCCAGCAAATCCCAGTGAAGTTCTCTGCTGCCTGCCCTGTGTGGCAGCAGAACAAGTTTCTAAAAATTGTCAGTACCTCTGTCTACATGAGGGTTTTATAATACGATAGAAAAAGCCCCGGTTACCTGTGCTCACCATGAGCAGTACTGTGTGGGGAAGCACAGCCTCTCTTGCTCCAGCTGGGAGCATTAAATGTTCTCATTCTGGCTGCCTGACCTCTCTTTTTCCACAGGAGAGAGTTAACTCTTTCACTGTCCCTGATGAGGTCATGTTCATACGTCCTATGTGGTTTCTGTGTGGGTCTTGGCTTTGGTTCAGAGCGTCAAGGTTTCCCTTGTGGCCAAAGGGAATGAAAATGGCTTTTCTGTAGCAGGGTAGATTTTGCAGCAAATACTGTGACTGCAGGATCAATGCACAAGCAAGTCCCTAGGTAGGAATTTCAGTTCTTTCTAGCCTAAAAGCTATTGTGGACTGTTGACGTTTCACCCTGGAGGTGGCTGCATTTCAGCTGCAGACAAAGTCTCCATGTTATTTTAGTAAAGCACTTTGGGGGATCTTTGAAGAGAACAGCGCTCTGCAGATAAATCAGAAAGCCCACCAGCTATGTCTTCAGTGTACAGCTCTCCTCACTGGCTGCTGCCTATGAAGGATCTTTAGGAATCTAAACAAATATGTGGACTTTTGGGGATTAGAAACTAATTGGAAGGGAATGGGAGGAGAAGACAAAGGGAGGGTACTGCCTGTATTGGGAACCTCAGAGATGGCTTTTCAGTAAGCTATGTGGTGTCTTGTGCTAGAAACTGTTATCTTCCCTGAGAGCCACTGATCTTCCTTTAATCCCTTTTTCAGCTCCCTTTTGTGAAGTATATCTAAGCACTATAATAAATTCGCAAACAGGAATGAGTTGCTAAGCATCCTACCTATCCAAATTCAGCAACCCACTGGGCAGCAGTAAAACCGGATATATTTGTCCCAGCAGCAAAGTCAGTAACTTTGAGGTAAACGCCTGTAAAAGGCCAGCTTTTTGCATTTCTTGTCATTTCTTTTTTTTGCTAAGAATAGTCTGTGCAATATGGTATTGCAAGTGTGAGAATGACAGCTGAATAATCAGGACTTCCCTTGTGTCCTTGGAACCATCATCAAAAAAGACATTTGGTCTTCTTAGGAAGTGGTGCCACAGCGAAACCCCCTTCCGAAGGAGCTGCCCCTGCCCTAATGGGGGTACATAGCAAGATACGAGGCAAAATCCAGGCACGACCACAGGCAGAGACCAATTCTTCTGAAACTCAGTCAAGTTTGCTATCTTAACCATAATTCCTTGTGTCCTGCAGCACTTGCCTGGCTGTTTAAATGTATTCTGGCCTTCAGGGGTTATTGTCCTCCTGAAAACTGTTGGAACTGGACAGCTAGACCCAGCATTTAGATGAGTCTTTAAAGACTGTTAAAGCACTAGAGTGCTTTGCGACATTAAATGCAAATGACTGCTACAAATTAATTAAGCCTCTACTAGGGCCAGAAATGCCCTCTTCTCTCCCCCAAAGACTTATTATGCTTTGGAAGAATTTCCTGAAAGCCAAGAGTGGTGGGGTGTGAGTCCCAAAGACCAGAGCTCCTCCTGGAGACTGCTTTGGCAGCAGTTCTTTCCCGCTGAACTGAGAGGCTCCAGTTCAGCTGTTTGTGACTCTGGCAGTACTGTGTAGGGAGGAGAAGGGGTCTCAGATGAGTAGAGACAGACCGTTTAGGGCTGTACAGAGTACAGGCAGCTTCTGTAGCCTTCCTGGGAAACCTGTGTGCAGACCGTTTTGTTTTTTTTTTGAAGAACAAGGCTCAGAAGCCTGCCTCTAAACAACAGCTGAGACCCTCCAGCTCGCAGGTCTTTGCCAGGTAAAACTCATACCTCTATGTGTCAGAAGAGCAGAGGAAGGCCTGCTGTCTTGGCTGCCTCCTGGCATTGCGTGCCAAAAGTCTGCCTATTGTAGCTTGTCTCAACCTGTTCTCCATCTTCCCTGTCAGCCTTAAAAGAAGATTTCCTGAATGACCCCCTGGTGGGAAAGAAAACGGACCAGCTGGGGCTGCCTCAGACGCTGCAGCAGGAGTTTTCACTGATCAATGTGCAGATCCGAAATGTCAATGTGGAGGTAAAGAGTTTCCTTTTCCTGGCTTGTTAGGAGGGGATGTGGGCAGGCTGGGTCATCGGAGCTTTTTGAGGGGAACCTTTTTTGCTGCAGTGACTGCTGTCTGTAAACAAGGCTTATTTTGAGCTGTAGAGATCCTCTTGGCCAGGGGTAGTAGGAAAGAGGATAATCCCAGACACTGGGAGTGAGGGAGGTATTTCAGCACAGTAAGCACACTGGCGCTTGTCCCGAGAAGGCTGGATGATGTTTTCCTCTCTGCGTAGAGTGCGGAGTGGAAAGTGACTTGTTCCACTACATGCAGCTGATCTCATTTCAGCTGTTTCTGAACCTGATCTGCTGAGCCCTCCCTATCCTCCACTCTCTCCCTCAGTTTTGGCCTCTCCCTTGCATGTCAAACCCTCCTCTGTGCGTGGAAGCTGGCTGGAGGCACAGCACCATGCTGGGATGGGAGGCTTGAGGCAGCTCCCTGTCTCCTTTCCCACCCCTGTGGTTTCACGGCTCATGGCATGATCCCGATGTAGTTTTCTGAGGCAGTGCTGTATGATCTTAGATGGTGCCTATTACTGCTGCACTGGGCCTGGAGCTTTCCACGGCCAGGTGAAGTGGGCTGGGGTGCGGTGGCTGTTGGGAGCAGAGCCTGATTCCTGGCGTAGCCTGGGCTGGCTGTGATCTCCCAATGCTGGACTGGTAGTCTGCTGGTGCGAGCTGAGTCTGTCCTCATCTGCCTGGGGTTTTTTTTGCTGTCACTGTGTTCACTGCCCTTGAGAACAGCATGACTTCGTCTCATGGGTGTGCAGAGGAATCAGCCCCTCAGCATGAATTTAAGCCACTATAAGTTTAAAGGTCCTTGGAGGTCTAACTACAGAGCAATTGCTTTTCCCCACACAGATGGATGCGGTGAGTCGTAGCTGTACGGTGTCGGTGCACTGCGGCAACCACAGAGTCAGGATGCTGGTGATGTTCCCTGTCCAGTATCCCAATAATGCTGCACCATCCTTCCAGTTCATCAACCCGACCTCGATCACTGCCTCCATGAAGGCAAAGCTGCTGAAGGTGTGTGAGGAGTGTACACTGTCTTTATGAATATACAAATGCTGGACACTTGACATCTAGCTTACTGACACAATAAAACATCTGACCTTGCTGAAGACATACCACAGGTCACTTTGAACTGATACTCTGTGGAGCTCCTAGGATGAGGTTTTTGTTGGGCTTGGAGCCTTTCTCCACTGGTGCTTTTGAACACGTGTTCTTCACTGCTACTGTATTCCTGTGTGATGTGTATGGCCTGAGGATCCCTAACATCTTTCTCTCCACACAGTTGCCTCCCACCCCATAGTAGACAAAATGACCAGCTAAGCATCCAGCTGCAGAAAGATAATATTTTTGAGCTGGGATGTTGCTTCCTGCTCTCCTGCGCAAACTGTTTCAAAAACGAGGAGACTTTTTACACAGACCCTGCTAATTTCAGACCAGGTGTTTGATCATCTGGTGTAGGAATTCCTGTTGCTGATGAAATCGCTTCCCCAGCAGCAAGTAGATGGATCAGTTTGGGTTCCTTCCTGAAAAAAAACTGATTCAGTTTGCCACAAACTGGTATGGAACGTATGGGCTACAGTGGTATAGAAGCCCAAATCCTGGTTTAGAGTGTGCTGAATCTAGGTGAACCCTCAGTGCTCTGATCAAAACTCACAGTTGTTCCTCAAAGCAGACAGCACACCAGTGGGTCAGTGTGGCTCCGGTGGATGTTACGGGATGTCTTTGGCCTCTCTGGATCCTGGCGTCTTAGTTGTTCTACAGACAAAAAAGGATGTGGGGAAGGTGCGGATGTAACCATGATTCAGGCTGCATCTTGTATGTATTCCAGATACTGAAAGACACTTCTCTGCAGAAAGTGAAGCGGAACCAGAGCTGCCTGGAGCCCTGCCTGCGTCAGCTGGTCTCCTGGCTGGAGTCTGTTGTGGTATGGAGAACTGCGTGGGCTTTCTGCCCTAGTTTGTTGTCTTCTCCCACGTCCCACACTTACGACTCTGCAGTGAGAGTCCGGCCTCATTAGACATGTAAATAGACCCCTGTGACTGGCCATTACATTTGTGTAAGCACTTCTGGTTAATGTTGAAGAAAACTGAGCAGATGATTAGATGTGTTTTGTTTCCAAAAATCAGGCCCTGAAGGTTTGCTGCTTTGGGGAACTCTGCATGCTCACTGATG